TTTTATTATTATTATTGAATTGCTTTATTTTGCTGCCTCCTACCAGTACTATTCTCTATCACCCAAGTATCAGTAGTGGCCATTTCAGCAGTACCCCGACCACCATACTAACATCAACCACAGATACTGCAGCAGTGTACTTAAGCAACAGGATGAATAATTAAGCGACAACTGTAAATATAGGATAACGTTGAGTAGTATTTAAAATCATAGAACGGCGATAAAATACCACAAATTAAATAATTAATAATCCTGAACCAATCTTCCTTTTTCCCTAAAATCACTACATCTCGCATCCCTGACTATTTGTGAGCAGTAATATAATCTAGGTCTACCTCTACCCCTCATAACTCCTGTTTCTGCTTCTAATATGTCTCTAACCAACATATCATGTCTAGCTATGTCGCCTATTTGTTATTGACTTCGACAGCGCCCTCTATTCTCTTACCATTTCTAATACCTCATCATTCCTAGCCTTCTAGTCTTCATCATCCGTCTGAGCAGAAAATGAAACGTATGGAACTTCAAATCAAATTAAACCACCGCAACTCAGCCCGGGAAACTTTCCAAATACTAATGAGTGTGGTTAGGTTAGGTTCCGTCGTGATAATTTCTGCGACCCTCTACTCATGAGCTTTCCATATCTGGTGGCCGTCGCCACAAATACTAAAGTACAACTCAATATTATTACATAGAAAATTTAACTAATTTAAAACAAAATACTTAAACGTTTAAAAACCTAAAAAGCATTTCGACACCCAAGGTGTCATCCTCAGTTAGAGACTGAACCTTTTTATGTAGAATTTTGGGTTTAGTGTTTTATTTAGTAAATTCCACAAAACTCAATTTAATTTTATTGTATGAGTTACTTTAATGAACAACAACAATACTCACGAAAATGTGGGTGGTACAGCACCAGTGAAATTGAAATTGGGCTTTACATTTGCGTTAAACTGAGTAGATCCGAAACTGAAACCCCCACTATTTCCCGGTGCTTCTGGAACCTATAAAAATCATTGGCAAATCATTACTGACATTATAAAATAAAATAAATCGTTTGAAAAACGTTTTTATTTATTTCAATTAAAACGAAAAATCGAAAAAATAAATATTGTATTCTTCAAATGACAAGTTTTTTTATCCTTAATGTAAGACCGTACTTGAGAAAAATTGAATTTTTGAAAAAGTATGACCAACCATGCTAAGAAAAAGTTAGTGTTACAACGCCAAAGAATAATGAACAATTTAACCTAAAGAATTAATAGTAAAAATAAAGTTTATTTTATATTTTTATTCTCATTTAAACTAAAATATGCAATGTTTTCTTATAGTATTTAAACAGGATCCTGTACCAGAAAGCATTGAGCTCCATACTTAAAAGATTAAATATTTTGTTCAATATTCAATACGTATTTTATTAATTTTCAAGCACTGAATTTTCAATTATTTCAAATTAATTGTGCACTTACCGCGTTAGTACCCGTACCACCGAAGCTAAATACTCCAGGCGCAGCAGATGGTCCTGATTGAGGTGCAAAATTAAAACCTCCCTTGGGTGGAACGTTTCCAAAATTGAATCCGCCGTTCTGTAAAAGTTGAGGAGGCTGTTGGGAAACAACCGAGGACGCCGCTGTAGCGGAACTATTTCCAAATATACTAGTAGTTTGTTGCTGCTGCTGCTGCTGCTGTGAAGAATCAAACATCGGTTTGAAATTAAAACCAGGACCACCGACCGTTGGATTACTGCTTGCACCAAAACTAAATCCTGCCGACGAAGTACTGTTGCTACCAAAATTGAATTTTTGTTCTTGTTGCTGCTTATTTCCTTGTTGCTCGAAGGAATAACCTGCAGCAGGTTTCGTTACTTCCGTAGTTTGCTGTGGCTGTTGTCCATAATTAAACGGTTTCGTAGACGTATCTTGACCAAAACAAAACGCTCCTTGGTCGGTCGTAGATGTTACAGGCATTCTAAAAGTAGGAGCAGGAATAGACGACGTAATGAACGGAGTCGTTTGAAAAGAAGACGAGGCTCCACCAAATGAAATTGCCTGAGTTGGTGTTGTACCGAATTTAAAAACCGCATCGGTTTTTTGTTTGTTGTCTGTATCTCCAGTGCTGTTGTTGCTACCAAAAATTGATGATGTACTGGAGTCCGGTTTAGCTGTTCCAAATGCAACTGGTGTTGGTTTTCCAAAAGTGGACGATCCAAAAATAGGCGCCGGCACTTCTACCTTAGGAGGAGCTGGCGACCCAAATATCGATGTGCTCGAATCTGGCTTCGCCGATGTTCCGAATATAGACGACGGCTTGTTTGTTGTTGCTGGGCTTCTCAATCCGGGTACTGGAGCAGGGACCGTATTCGTTTTCGTCGTGCTAGAGTCTGCCTTGTTTGCAAACATCGTCGACGTAATAGTGGCAGAAGAATCCGACTTTTTTTCTGGAACATGTTTGAATATGGGTGTGGGAATTACGTTAGTTTCAGTTGGCGCCTTCGAATCAAAATCTTTCACTGTAGAAGCGCCGAAAACGAAAGACGAAGGAGCTGACGATTCTAACGTCTTGGTGGTAAAACCGAAACTGGAAGTGGTGGTGATAGTTGTACTACTCGTAACCGTTGTTTCGGTGGAATTCGCTGTACTTACAACAGATTTCGATGAGGGGGTGGCAACAGAAGATGTAGTCGTAATTCCGAAACAAAAAGTAGGTTTAGAATTATTATTCGATTCCGATGTCTCTGTGTCCTTTTTGTTGTTATTGGTCGCCCCATTGAAAAGCACAGGCTTGGTTTCATCCGAAGCAGACACGTTTTTCTCATTAGGTACTCCAAAGGAGAAGTCTTGCTTTGATGTCTTTTCTGTCTCTCTCAAGTCCTTAGGAATGCCAAACGTAAACCCTTTGGATGTGACAACGCCGACAGCGTCATTAATTCCAAAATTGAATGTGGACATAGTGTTTTTATTTTCAGAAACTGACTTATCCGTTGATTGAAGTTTTGGACGAGGGGTCTCGCAACATGCGCACTTGCCTTTAGTTTCTGGATTTCTGACCATACAAATGGGGCATTCCCATTCATCCTTTTTCATTTTAAATGCGTCCGCAAAACTAGTTGACTTTTTGGGCGCGTTTGGATTGGGCGATTCACAAGCCGCACATTTGTCTAAGTCATTTTTATTTCTAATCATACAAACACCGCACACCCATGTATCTGATGGAGGTTTAAATTTGTCTCCGAAACCTTCATTGGTTGTATGCAAAAAAGAATTTTCAATAATAGGTTTTGGAGTCGTACTTGCCACACAATTTGTGTCCATATTCTTGTTTCTGACATCCGACGTCAGTTTAAATTTGTTACCAAAATCGTGGTTTTTTATAGAAGCAGTAGCAGTAGGCAGCGGTTTCGATGCCCTTTCGGCCTGACATGCAGCACACTTGTCTCTGTCTTGTACGTTTCTTATTAGACATACGTTACATTCCCAAGTGTTGGCTGATGGTTTAAATGCACTCATAAGGTCCATTTTCGCCGTCTGAAGAAAATTGATTCCGCTCTGAGATTTTCGTTTTAATTCGTATTTACTGGACGAGGACTTGAAGTTATTTTGAACTTCTTCTTTCTGGTTCAATGGCTTACTAAAGACGAAGTCGTTGCTGCCAATTATACTCTTTAAATTATTCGATAACAATACAACAGGTTTTGCAAATTTGAATGGCGCATCATTCACTTCGAATAGTTTCGGTTCTTCGCTTGTGATCTTCTTTGACTCGTTGGTGATGGATATCTTCGTGACTTGTTTTTCCCTTTTGGTTCCCTCGTCCGTTTCAGTTTCAGTTTCTTTCGTAACTACTCGCGTTGACGTGGTGGTAACTGCTTTTGTTACCATCCCAGATGCCGACGTGGTGGGTAAGATGCCAAAATCAAACTTGGGCAACGTAGTAATGGGTAACGCAATGTCTGGTAGTTTTACTTGCTCCACCTTTTCCTGTTCCATTGTGTCGGTTGTTCGTTTTCGTATATTCGACACTTTATTTCTCATTTTGTTCACGTGTTTCGATGTTGCCTGTTCGTCGTCTTTATCTCTCAGTTTGTATTCATCTGCGTTTTGAGCAGCCTTTGAAGTAGCAGCTATCTGTCTCACAGCAACAGTACTATCTTGTAGTTTTTCTTTTAATTTCATTTTTAATAAATCAGGGACTGTGGGAACTTGAAGTTCCTTACTTGAAGGTGTGTTTTTAGGTTCGCGTACAAAGTAAGGATTTGCTCCTGTATATTTTGATAAAAGGCCATCCCTCTTTGTAGTACCCCTTCGTAACGAAGGGTTCGGTATTTTCTTGGCCTCCGAAACGGGTGTCGTATACTGTTCTAGAGTGTCCAAAATTCGCCTGGCCGTTTTGCTTAATGTGGCATTCTCGGTTTTTACAGATTCGTTAGCTGGTTTCACTTCAAATGCGTTTCGAAGAGAATTCTTAATATCGGCGTTTTTCTTCAGTCTATGAGAATAGGCAGATGCCCCTCCGTATGTTGTACGGCCACCGTAAAATGGTGAATGTATTATTCTTTTGGTTGTCAGGGTTCTGTCCACAAAATCTGGGGAGCCAAAGGTAGAAGCGTTGAATGATGGCCTTCGAGAACTAAGGGAAGAGTTAGAATGTGGACTGACACCTCTCTCACTGAACAGCGATCGAGTTTGGCTAATTACTGCTAAAAATTAGAAAATAAAATGCCTTAACGATTTTATTATTAAAATAGTAAACTAGCTTTTTAATAAGTAATATATATACTGACCATGATGCAAAATGTTAATATTATGAAAAAATAA